ATCTCTTCTTTATGCTCACTATCCACTCCACAGTTGCCAAATGGAATTGTTTGTGGTTTATCTTCTGGTGTTGTTGTTGAAGGGAAGTCTGCAGTATTGTTAGAGCTGGGCTGTCTGGTGTTTGTTTCAGAGAAGGAGCGTTGTCCAGTGGGAGTCAGAAAATATAGTCTTGTGTCTGCACCTGGCTCACTTGTGTGGCCTTGGGCTAGTCCCAAAGGCCAAAATTTCCACAAGTGTCCACTCTGGGTATTCACTTTGGGCATCCAATTTGAGACACCCGTGGGCTGATTTTCAGAGGTGCTAAGCAGGTGCAGCTCCAACTGAGTTGTGGGTGCTCAGCACTTCTGAAAATAGGTCATGGGTGTCCCAAAATTAGGGTCCTTTCTTGGAAATGATACCCTTAACCTCTGTGCGTGTCAGTTGTCCCATGTATAAAGGGGAGCAAAACATCCCCGAACTCTGGAGCTCAGATCTGCATGCGAAAGTTGTAGTTTTGTGATCTCCAGTAATGACATGTAGATACCCCACCCTTGTTTTATGTGCCCTGCTGAACGTTTCTAAAGCACTGTGAGATCCATGGATACAAGACATTCTGTAAAAACCAAAGTATTATTGTTTCTAAATATTTTGGCTTGACATGCTGTATAAATCTTACTGCTGCATGCCAAGCCACCAGACAACTTGCTCAGTGAGATTTATGTCCAGACGTCTATTGTAGAGAGAAAAGGACCGATGCAAGGAAAAAAGAGAATGTGTCCTCTGCTCCCTGCAGGAACCTCAACCAACCCTGTCCCTGTGCAGCTGATTCCTCTTCTTTGCCCTTAGATAGCTACAAAGCCCTCTCAAGACTACCCAAGTCTGACACATCTCTTGTTGCCAGTTCTGCCTGTATTATCTGTGTGAAAGAGTCTAGAGGCCCCAGCTGAGACCAGGGACCCATTGTGCTAGGTGTTGTACAAACACACAGTGAGAGATGATCACTGCCCCAAAGAAATTTAAAATCTAACAAGACAAAAGGCGGGAGGGAAACTGAGGCATGGAGAGGGGAAATGAGTTACTTATGATCACACAGCAGTTCAGTGGCAGAGCCAAAAATAGTACCAAATCTCCTGACTCATATTCCAATGCTTTATCTACTACCCCACACTGCCTCCCTAGCTGCAAAGAATTCTTCTTTCCCATCTGCCTGTCTATTCTGACTAGTTCCTTATTCTCTTTAAGGGTCCACAGGCATGCAGCCATTTCAGCTTCCCAGTCCGTGGCTAAACAGCAAGAATTCCTGCCAATGTCCCCAATTAGGCCATGTCTATGCTACAGCGATTATAGCAGCATAGCTAAGGTGCTGTGGCATAACCCTGTTGTGTAGACACAGCTCCAGTCTCTATTAGCAACAGTTTTCTAAAGGTTAAAGAGTCATTGGCTTAAAGCAGTAAAGGCAGGTGACTTTTACAGTCACATGTCATAGATGTAGTGGACACCAGAACCTCCCACATGATGCTTGTGGCCTATAAAGAAGAATGTTTCTTGGTCTAGTGGTCAGAGCACAGGGCTGTGAACCAGAAACCCCTGAGTTCTAATTCTGGTTTTGCTACTGGCAGCTGTGCTATCTGACTCTTTTCATAGCTGTAAAATGCAGTTACGTCTTGCCAACTTCACAAGGGTGTTAGGAGACTTGATTGTTTGTAAGGCACTTTGATTATTAGGATTGTCCTTTTGTTCTGTGTTTGTAGAACAGGTCCATGACTAGGGCTGCTAGGTGCTCCGGTGATATAAATAATGCATGCTAATAGCACATTATTTTATTTCCTCCACCTTGCTACATGCTGAAGGAGGGGGAGCCTGGCACATTTTTAGGAAGAATTGATCGATGAGGGAGTGTGGTGCAGAGATAAGATTAGAGCACCTCTTCTTCAAGGTGTAATGGCTTATCCCACAAATATACTCCATGGGCTAAACTCAGCCCTCTTGGGGAGGTGTTAAATGGTACCTAGCCCTTGTACCAGCCCTCTGCATAAGGTGAATTTCACCCTCTGTGACTAAATGTCAAGCTATAGAAACATGACAGGGGGTTAGGCAAGTAATGGTATCTGCCTAGTTCCAGCTGGTCCTTCTCTTTCTGAGACCAGGCCTGGCATGCTGACAGTTATTTTACAAAGTCTCCAAGTAGAAAGCAAGTGATTAGATATGTGACTTTTAGTTCATGTGCAGTGTAGGGGTGGGAATAATCAGTCAGTGAAGCCAGGTTGGGGAAGGTCCACAGCGAACTAGTCAGGCTTTCCCCAAATGAAAGCCTGTTCACCTTCCTCACATAGATAGCCCCATTGACTTGCATGAGTGAAGACACTTAGGGCTTGTCTTCACTGCAGTGTTAGCTTGGGTTAAAACTTGTTTTGTTTCTAGTAAAAGCAGTTGTGCTTTAAGACATTCCAAGCACCTGCAGGTTTCATTGATCAGCATCTCTGATAGCCAGGCCACTTTTATGTAGGGGCTTAAATATGGATACTGATGCCTAACTTACTTCACCCATGTGTGAAAGTGTTGGCTTGACTTCTTAGGATTCTGCAGCCTCAGTATTAGTCCATTTTTTCTCTGGCAATGCCTAGTATGTATATATGTGTGAGTGTGTAAAGATCTTCAGAGCACTGTAGGAAGGAAAGAAAACAGCAAAACAATTCAGGAGAGCAGACTGGCACCATCTGTCCATTAAGATTTTATATTGCTGTCCATCACCATAGTGTCTGGCTGACTTCCATGTAAAATCAAATAGCAATTGCAAAGTCCCTAGTGGACTTCATGGCCAGGACAATGCCCATGGACTGTCCCCATTGAAATCAGTGGTAAAATTCCCATTGACTTCAATGGAATCAAGATTTCACTCCAAGACTCCAGGGTGTGAATTTATTTACTGCTGTTTGTACTTAAGCTGAATGATGAAAACAAAGTGAAAACCCAGGAGTTTTGTTGAAACATTTCCACGCATGAAATGAACATTACGATAAATCATTCATGTCTGTACTTTCTTCTGTAGAGGGTTAGAATACTGATTTTTTTCCTGTTCATTGCATATCCTGCCCCACTAAACACTACTGAAGTTTTGCCATTGACTTTGAGTGAAATCCTGGCCCTATCAAGCTCCATATATGTGCAACATGAGGTTTCTTATTTAACTCCACTTAACATAAGATCTACACAAAGAAAAAAAATATTGCTGCAAACACTGCATGAGAGAGAAAGGGAGGGGGGTGGAGAGAGAGAGAGAAATATCTGAGATCAAGTGATCAGAATGACAAGTTATCGTGTACTCAAGAGTATGCAACAGATCTGGATCTAATTTAGCAGTATGACTGTCTACATACTAGTACCCTCTGAATGCTAACAGGAAACAAAATCATGGTCCTAAATAAGCCAAGTTTCTTTCTTTAGAAATAGTGAACAGTAGTGTAGTATGTTCCCTGAATTCCTGGCTATTGTTCTGTACTTTCCTTTCCAGGCAGTACTAGTAGTTGAGATGTTACCACTCCATGCTACTGATCTGGGCAGACAAGCACTTACCCTCTTTGATCAATGTCACTACATCTCATTTTGCTAATCAGAGGGTGGTTACATGGCAGAGAGCTGTCATTTCAGAATTCAGCGTACAGACTCTGTGAAGTGCACTGTCTACTTTTGGCTGAGAACGTAAGCAGCGCTTTGCTTTCTAGGTTCAAAGATTGTACTTGGCACAAAGAGCTAACAGTACATAAATTACAAGAAGAAAAGCCCTTTGGGTTAGGTTATTTCCCTAAATGTATTGAGGGCTGAAAAATCCTGCTCCTGGTTATATCGTCCTCATGACACTTTGCTTGAGCAACATCCTCAGAGCTTTATGCCGTCCTGTGTGAGTCTGGCACCTACCGAGCCCTGCAGCAGTTAGGCAAGGAACTGAGGGATATGTTTGGATTCTTTTTTTTACAGCTGATGAAAATATATTTGAGATTTAGAATTTAGTAAAAATCTATCCTGGGGGAGGGGGAAACCTTAACTTTTTTACCCCTCTGAATCCCCTATAAAAACTGGTTTCCTCTACTTCAGCTGGGAGCCCAGAAAGAATGCAGACAAGGGTTGTAAATACATAACTAATAATCCTAAAATACCCCCATTATATTAAATGAAGGAACTCCTGAGAATATGATCCATATTTATTATCCCCTCCAACCTTCACCAGAAATGGTCATTTCATTCAGCCTCTTTGTATCACCCAGATGTCCTTACGTTTAGAGGATTTGGGGGCTGTAAAATAGTTCATTTAATGCAGTTGTCTTTAAACAATTTCAAGCCAGACAGAGTTGTAGCCTCTGTGTAATTATTTCCCAAACCCTCCTGCTGTGTACATTCCGAACTAACCAGCTATTTCAATGAATCTCTAAACCTCTGATGCCTTTTTAAAAAAAATACATTTTGCCCTCATTCTTTGTTGGTTAATTTAAAACAGGTTAAGTTGGGGGCTCCATTGAATATCTTGCGAGTGCCCAAGAAATTTAAAACCACATTCTCATTTAATAGAATCTGTAACTGAATTGGAAAAGTCAGATTTAAGCTGGTGGAGCAGGGATCATCAGAGAATGAACAACATTTTCAGGTGGGGGGATTTCTGATTTTAGGGTAATGTGTCAAAAAAATTAACCTGTAAAATTGAAGCTGGATTTTCTCTGCTATCTTTTTAATCTAATTTCAACCCAGGTTTAAAGGGGATTTGCTTCATAAACAAATTTATTTTAGTTAATTTTCCTTTTATAAGTCTCTTCATACTGGGATTTATAAGAGAAACTGGCCCAATATTCTTCCAAAATTTGATTCTAAACTTCTTCATGCCTTTGCTTTGTAACAATTTTATGAAGCCATCAGTTACCTTGGAAGATTTGCCAGCTCTCAATTCGTGCCATGACTTGCTGAGCTAGTTTTTAAAAGGAGGAGTGGTAGCATAGGAAACATAATTCAAAGTGGATATTGGTTAGGCTTACCTGTAAGTTTAGGCAGGCGCTGTAGGTAGCTTGGCTTTATGAAGTGTGGCAGGACGACACAGAAAATCTTACCAACTTTGAAACTAGAATCTATTTTTAGCGTAGGATTTGCTGACTCTGACCTTGTGTGCTACCCAGTCCCCGGGGAGAATCTTTATATCTGCTTGTAAAACTATTCCCTGATGTGACCCGAAACCTTAAACCTGCCATTTAGTCATAGTCTGTGATCAGTCACAGCATGAGTAAGGTAATGTGACGTCTGCACGTTGGCTGTAATAATAAACAAGAAGGCTTCTTTTACCTTCCCATTCCCCTCTTGGTCCTGATGCTGAGTTTACTCATGGCTTTGTTACAAGCAATTAACAGGTATTTGTAGGCTTTATGCCTTCAAGATAATGGACCACAGGAGCAGAGGTGGCCTTAGACCCAGGCAGCCACACAGGGCTCCAGGCTCTCAAGTGTGTGCATGTGGTGAGGAGCTCCTGGCTTGTTAAACAGATTTTCCTCATCAGCTGTTCTGTCTCGCTCCAGCACTGATACCCACAGCAGCTATCCAATTCCTTAAGGACCATTCCCTGCTTGGAAAGATGAGCATCAGTTCCACTTGCTACCTTTCCAGTCCATGTGGACAGGAGTCAGAAAGTCTCCCAAACAACCTGAACGGGCAGGGGCAAAGGGAGAAGGGTGCTGTGGGGGCTATGGGACAAGCAGGAAATTATAATTAGAGATGGCATTGGACGTTACTTAGCACAAGACCAAGCCAGGGCCTGCCCATACTTCAGTGTCTTCTTATCACCCAGGTACAGAATAGTTACAAGTCAGTATTTCAGAGGGAGTGATGGGCAGGACTTGTGGACTTAACTTGGCTCGTTGCCCAATCCCACACTTCAGCCCCTATCTTTTTCTTTCTGTCTGACAATTCCTTCTTACAATCAGCTTCCATGTCACACAGCCAAAGCCAAATTGTGTATCTTCCTTCCAGGGCCGGCTCTAGGCACCAGCAAAACAAGCTGGTGCTTGGGGCGGCACATTTTTAGGGGCGGCATGGCCGGCGCCAGAATGCCGCCCCTAAAAATGTGCCCCGGCCGCCCTAGCTCACCTCCGCTGCTGCTGCCGCTCGCGCACCGCTACTCGCCTTCCCTCCAGCTGTTTCGCGCGCCGCGGCCGCTCGGGGTCTCCCCCTCCCTCCCAGGCTCTCAAACCTGGGAGGGAGGGGGAGATCCCGAGCGGCCGCGGCGCGGGCGCCGCTTCTCCCCCTCCCTCCTAGGCTTGAGAGCCTGGGGGGAGGAGGCAGGGAAGGGGCGGAGTTGAGGCGGGGCCGGGGGTGGGGTAATTAAAAAACGGGGCGGGGGGCAAAATTGTTTTTGCCTTGGGCGGCAAAAATCCTAGAACCGGCCCTGCTTCCTTCTGAAACCCTTTTCATGTGCCATTCTCCTCTCAAGCACACAACCTGAGGGTGGGCAGGGGGAGTTCAAAAAACACATTTTACAAAAATCTCAGTGTTTTTTGAGGTCTGACACATGAGTTTGAACTTTTGGGGTTGGCAATACTGAGGGTCGCATACACATACGGTGATCAGCAGAGGGGTGAGCCCAGGACCTGCAACTCTAAAAGCATAGACCTTTGTCTCTAGAGCAGGGGCAAGCAAACTTTGTGGCCCAAGGGCCACATCTGCATATGGAAATTGTATGGCAGGCCATGAATGCTCCTGAAATTGGGGGTTGAAGGGCAGGAGAGCTCCAGCTGGGGGTGCGGGCTCTGGGGTGAGGCTAGGGATGAGGGGTTGAGAGTGCAGGATGGTGCTCTGCGCTGGGACCAAGGGGTTCGAAGAGTGGGAGGGGGATCAGGGCTGGGGCATGGGAGAGGATCAGGGGGGTAGGCTCTGGGTGGTGCTTACCTCAAGTAGCTCCCAGAAACAGCGGCATGTCTCCCCTCCGGCTCCTATGAGGACATTCAGCCAGGTGGATCTGCGCACTGCCTTATCTGCAGGCGCCGCCCCTGCAGCTCCCATTGGCTGTGGTTCCCGGCCAATGGGAGCTGTGGGGGCAGCACTTGGGGCAGAGGCAGTGTGCAGAGTCCCCTGGCTATCCCTATGCTTAGGAGCCAGAGGGGGGACATGCCCTTGCTTCTAGGAGCCGTGCAGAGTGGGGAAAGACCCCGACCCCGCTCCCCAGCTGGAGTGCCAGAGCAGGGCAAGACCCAGACCCCACTTCCTGGCGGGAGCTCAAGGGCCGGATTAAAACATCTGGAGAGCTGGAAGTGGCCCCCGGGCTGTAGTTTGCCCTTCACTGCTCTAGAGCTAATGAAGTTCTCCAGGACAACAAATGGGGCTCCTGGGGAGTTCAGGCTTCAGGTTTTGCTGGGCTCTATGTAAATTAATAGCTGTTCTTGCGTATTGCTTTGCTTCCAGCCACCTCTTCTTTATCAACTGTGCCAGCTCAGTCGCCCATTTGTCATCTTCCCTCATGAATGTTCTCATGTTACCTTGTATGCATGGAATGTCCTCCCTGAACTACACCATAGATGAGAGCACATCTATCCTCCCTGTCCCTCCTCAAGGCTCGCCTTTGCTACAGTGTCTGCAAGAAATCAGCCAGATAGTGGTAGTTCATGGCGGCAGGGAGATAAATATCAAGAGTGGACTCTTTATCCTTCTGAAGGAAAAAGCGCCCTTGCAAATTACATTAAAAGCTGTATTGAATTGATTCAGGTACTTTTGGAAATTTTAACCAAGTCCCATTTTCAAAAGCATTCAAGTCCCAAGTGAGGAGCTGTGATAAATGAAGCGGGGTGGGGATTAGCTCCCTTTTATGGAAACCCAGCCAGCCAGTAGCTATAAAATCCTCTTAGTAGCTGTTCTCCAATTGCTCTGCCTGTAAAGGGTTAAAAAGTCTCACTGCAATGCACAGGTAAAAGGAAGTGAGTGGGCACCTGGCCAAAAAAGCCAATGAGAAGACTAGAACTTTTTAAAATTGAAACAAGACTCCCCCTTTGTCTGTCTGTGGTTGTTCTCCCAGAGAGAGGGGACAGGGCAGAGTTATGCTGTGAGAAGTTTGGGCCAGGTATGAAAAAACATCAGTATCATACCTAGAAACTACTCATCTAAAACCCCAGATATGTAAGTAGATCAGGAAATGTCTAGGAAGATGCGATTAGGTTTATCTCTTCTTATTGCAGTTCAGACAGACCCTTAGATTCCGAAGTAATTTAGGTGCTTTCGAAAACATTCTCCCATATCCCTCTCCTCCACCTTCCTGTGCCTTCTTTCTAGATTACCAAAGCCCTCTGGAGAGGGAATGCATACTTTTATATAGCATCCTGCCTAGCACAATGGGACCTTGATCTTGACTCTCACCTTTGGGGTGCTATTGCAATAATAGATAGTTTCTGTTTGAGTTCTGGGCAATGGATCTGTTCCTGTTTTATCTAAACAGGTTATTCAAGCTTAGTTGTTATACAATAGAGCAATCAAGATTCCTGTCCAATTATTCAGATAGTTGGCTTTAAAATACAAAAGATTTTAGATGTTAGAATCCTGCTGGACCTTCCAAGTTACCTCAGAAGGTAGTAGAAAATATTAATTCCCTTCTGGGGAGAAGGCAATATATGTCATGTGACAGAAACTGCTGCTCTGGTCATTTTATTTTTATCCTGGTGACCAGCCCAGCATGGGGGAATGGAGGTAAAGTGATATAGCAGTGCTCGTTAGAATAGGTTATGTAATGTGGGTACTGTATAATCTATGGGTAGTGGAATGTTTCCATTCTTAAACTGTCACTCAGAAAATTTGCCCTTTCGATGTCAGAGCGATGGTATGACAAAGTTTTGAGAGATAATTTTTTTTCTTTAGGGTCAAGAGTATTAAACTGAAATAGATGTATTTATTTGTCTCCCTGGCTGTCGGAACAGTACAAGCTCTTGCTGCAATTCGCTAGAATTGAAATAAGTGCTTGGAAGTGGATTTTAACTTCCAGGAACCTAAGTTCTATTTTGGGGTCCAATTGTGTGTGTGCTTATTTTTATTTTTTATCAACAACTTTTGTGGAGAATATTTTCGGAAGTGACTAGTGATTTCAGACTGAAAGAGCATAAAGGGACAACCTGATTTTTTTTTTTAAAGTGCTGAGCACTCACTCTCTGAAAATCAGGTCCTTTTAAAGTATCCCCAGTTAGGAACACAGAAGCTGAGATACCCCAGGTCACTAGTTACTTTTGAACTAGTCTTTGCCAGACTCTCCAAGTGACATTCTAAACCACACACCCTGCTTTATCATTACAGATTTAGCCCTATACATAGCCAATATTTCCTTGTGGTCACATGCAGGTATCTGAAGCCCAAAAAACTCAAACTGGAAATTAGGCACATTTTTATCAAGAAGGTGATTAACTAGGGTAACAAACTACCAAGAAAATGGTGGGATTCTGCATCTCTTGATGCCTTCAGATCACGACTGGATGCTTTCCTGGAAGAGATGCTTTAGTCAACCACAAGTTATTGGGCTCAATACAGGGGTAACGGCCTGTGTAATACAGGAGGTCAGGCTAGATCTAATGCTCCCTTCTGGTCTTACCTAGGTTCATAGACTTTTTCTCTCCATGAAAAAGCTGGTACTTGGACACATTGACATTCCTAACCAGGTCAGCTCTAGTACCCCAAACACTGATAATAGGAAGTGTTGCATAATGTATTTATCATTTTTATTATGATAGTGTCTAGCAGCCACCCAAGAAATGATGCCCTATTATGCTAGATGCTGTACAGACTACTATAAAAGACCGTCCTTGCCTTGAAGAGCATACAGTCTAAATAGAGAAGACAGAAAAAGATATGGGGAAAGAGAGAGAACATACAAGCAGAGGGAACGGTGCAACAGCAGTAAACGTCCTGTTAGTTCTGCATTTTTTGTTTGTTTGTTTATTTTAAATTCTTTAAGTGAGGCGGGATTAGCTAGATGGAAAGACTAGGGAAGAGACGGGGTTGGAGACTGGGAGGGAGATAAAAGGAGGAATTAGTGCAAACAGGCAATCAGCAAAGAGATCATGTTCAGAGTGAAAACTGGAGAACACACTGATAGCATCCTCTGTCCATCAGTCCTAGATTGAACTGCTTTCTACAGCTGCTGTGCTGGCTTCCTAACCTCCGAAGAGTAGACCGATGATATTCCCTCTTACAAGCCACATTGTACATCTACCTGTAGCGGGGTGGTTACCCCGCTCCTGCCCTGAAGGGCTTAAAACAGCCCTGGGGGAAGGTTGTGGCTGAGAGCGGCTAAGCTGGGCTGATTGGGAAGCAGCTGCAGCTTGGCCACACCCCAATCAGGCCTCAGATGGCCCTATATGAAAAGGCTGTGAGCCAGAGACCAAGCAGTCTCTCTTTGCCTTCAGAGAGAGAAGGGCCTGGCTGCAGGGAGCTAGAAACAGGGTACCTGAGTGGAGCAGGGCTGGGGAAAGGCAGAGGAGCTGGGGAGCTCCAGCCTGGAAAGCCCCAGGCCGTGGCCTAGTATAAGGCCAACAGGTACTGGGGGTTGCAGAGGACAGCCCAGGGGTAGGCCAAGGCAGCAGGTCCAAACCCTCCTTGTCAGTGATGAGTAGGCTGATACTGCAGTCTGCCCCAGGCATGGGGCTAGACGATGACTGGCAGTAGCCTTATACTGAGGTGAGGTGGGGATAGTGGGTGGGGGTTCCCCAGGGAGGGGAGACCCTAAGACTGAGGGGTTACTGCCAGGGGCCAGCACCCCAGGTAAAAGGGCACCGGGGTCCAGGGAGGGACACGGGGGCCAGAGGACAGGCGGATCACTGGCCTGCAGAGGGCGCTCCGGAGCTGGAACGAGCTAATTCCCGGAAGTCACCAGCAGGAGGTGCTGCAGGGTTGAGTCCACTCCTCTACACTACCCAACGCCAATAATTTTTTTTCATGCTACCATCACTAATATCTGCTTCAGTTTACATTATGAACTCTCACTTGTCTTGGGTTCCTAACATCTGTGTAAATGTAATCTCTGGATCTGCTTAACATAGGGTTCATGGAAGGAAATTCTGTCCCCATTGAAGTCACTGGGAGTTTTGCCTCTTACTTCAGGCTTTACATCCCATGTGTCCAGGCTTTGAGATCTGGAAGAGGAAGAATGGAGCTGACATGGTTTGTATTGTTCTCCTCTGTGTCTTTACACATCTGGAAGTGAGTGTTGTATTGCCTAGTTCTGAGCTCAGAGGGCCTCACTGTTTGCTCCACTCTTTGGCCATAATTTCAGTCATGTCTTTGGAGAGGAGGCTCTTTTGAAATAGCAGCCAACAATGTAAAATTTTAGTGCATATTTTTTTAACTTAGTACCTTAGTAAAAGCTGAAATGTGACAAAATTCTTAGAAGCACTGAGTTTCCCCCCATAAATCAACTGGGCAAAGAAGGCAGGAGGGAGGGAAACCACCGTGATATTTTGGCCAGACCACACTGGAGGTATAGTTGGAAAAATCTGGCATTTTGAAAGTTTAATATTTAATTTTAAAATGAAAGCTCTGAATAAGGTTCCGGTTGAAATGATTTCTTTCCTCCTAACTGGAAGATTTCCCTTTTATTACAAAATATGCTGTTATTTGGAGAAGTAGGGTTTTGAACAATTGTATGGGAAGACGACATATATAATTATATAAGATTATCCTAATGAAAGTTTGCAGCTGCACTGCAATGCTAATAGCATGCAGGAACCACTACGCTTTGAGTTGTTTTGGCAAAAGTTAAGAAACTTTATATATACATACTTTTTTTTTTTTTAAGTTAACCATAAAGCAAATCCAGATGGTCTCCTTTTGCACAGACAAGCAGTCTTTAAACTAGACATATAGCTATGGCACAGCTACGGCTTTTTTGATTTTTGCAGATTGAGACAGTCACATTCAAAAACAAATGGCCCAGTTCTACAAAATGCTGAGTGCCTTTGACACTCATTGAAGTCATCTAAAGCAGGCACAGTGATGCCTAGAATTTGTATGACAATACTGTACATGTATAAGGGCACGCTTTGATTATTTGTATGGAGGTATTGCCAATCAGAGGTCATTATGCTACATGCTATATATAGGTATAACAAAAAGACAGTCCCTGCTCTACATGACTTGCTGTCTAGATTGTCATTTGTTCCTTCTCTCCCCCATTGTAATCACTACCAAATAATTCATTTTTATTAAAAAAATATTCAGCCCTTTAGTTGTCTTCTTTAATAGGTTACTACTTTCAAAGGTTGATGAGAGAGAGAAAGGATTAAGGTTGGCACCAAGAAGGCCTCGCTGCTGAAGTCCTACAGTGCTCGCCTGTGAGTTGCGGTATACCTGGCATGCTACTGGCACCCTAGGGGGTTGGAGTACAGAGCAATCTCAATAATTACAATAGTCTAACACAGTGATAGAAATTTGTACAAAGATCTTTCTCTAAGGAGGGTCAAGTCATTATCCCAATGAGAAATAGGTAGCATGAGAGACATGATAGGTATATGCCTTTTATGAAGGTAGAAATCAAAATTGTGTTAAATCAGGAAAATGAAAATACTGACCAAGGCAAAGCAGGTGTGAATATCTTCCTTAAAAGACAATACATCTAGGTGTTTGTTGAAACATCATGTGTATATATACATTGTTAGATGCTTGTTAAATGTTTTGATCGGATATTTATTGGAAAGTTCTTCATTATGATCATGCTTTTAAGTGTAAATTAAAAACAAAACAAACAAACTCATAATATTCTAAAGGGGACATGAAATGAAAGGTCCTGCAAAAAAAAATAATTTTCTGAGCCACGCAGGAGGTGCATGCAAATTTCTGTTAGTTGAATGGCTCCTCAGAGATAAATAATTTGCATTCATTTCTTACAGATGGGACCTGACTGGCAAACAGTGCTTATAATCTTCGTATTGTTGAAACCTTGGACAAAAGTACTCACTCCCTCTCTTGTTACATGAGATACAATGTGGGTGAGATAATATCTTTTATTGGACAAGCTTCTCTTGTTACATTGCTTTTTTAGCCGGTCATGAGCCAAATGTTCTTGTATATTTCTATAGGTATTGTTTATCCAAGTAACATAACAGACAGAAAGCTGATATAGTTTTATGAGCTTCTTGTCAACTTCTGATATTATCGTAAAGGTATTTTATCTGTCCCACTCTATTTGGCCCTGGTGAGGCCTCAGTTGGAGTATGGTGTCCAATTCTGAATGCCATACTTTAAGAAAGATGTGGACAGATTGGAGAGAATCCAGAGGAGAGCAAGAAAAATGATAAAAGGGTTAGAAAACCTGACCTATGAGGAAATGTTTTTTAATGGGCATGTTTAATTTTGAGAAAAGAAGATTGGGGTGGGAGGTGGATACCTGATACCCCTTAATATATTTGAAGACCGTTGTTATAAAGAGAATGATGATCAGTTGTTCTTCATGTCCAGTGAAGGTAAGGCAAGAAGCAATGGGGTTAATCTGCAGCAAGGGAGATTTAGGTTAGATATTAGGAAAAACTTTCTAACTATAAGGGTAATTAAGCTGTGGAATAGCCTTCCAAGAGAGATTGTGGAATCACCATCATTGGAGGTTTTTAAGAGCAGATTCAACAAACACCTGTCAGGGATGGTCCAGGTTTATTAGGTCATGCCTCAGCGCACAGGACTGGACTTGATGACTTCTTGAGGTCCCTTCCAGCCCTACATTTCTGTGATTCTATGATTGTGGCTAGAGTGTCTAGGCTGTACATTGCATCTGTCTACAGCATACAGCAAGTAACCTAGTAACAATGGTTGCATTTGTAAGGCAGTACCTGGGCTTTGAGACAGAACAAGCTGTTGCTGGGGATTAAGAAGGCATCTCAAGGAAGAAAAGACCTTGCCTTTTAATAAGCTGAATTTATGGTATTCTCCCCCATTTGTTTGGTGGGGCCCCAAGTCTAGAGCCCTGAGAGAAGGACCATTTAGGGCTCCTCTTTTCCCCCCCTTCCTTCCCCCGGATGTTACCAGGCTTTGGGAGATTTGTCCTTACCTGGCGAATAGGGCATGGAATAGAGCAGACTGGCAAAAGAGGACTGCCTGTCACCTCCTCTTAACAAAGCATGTTAGGAACAGGAGGAGTGTGGTGGCCTTCATAATGCAGCCTTATCTATCTCTTAGTCAGTGTTTAGGAGGATAGCCCCAAAAGAGGATCTGCTTTGAATGGACCCTGAAAGGGGGGGACATTGACCAATGAATAAACTACTTCTATCAGGGTGCCCTGCATACCACTGACTGCTGCAAGCAATGAAGGGACCATAACAGTTGTGTCGCACTGTAAGTACAATACATGTTGTCGCCATTAGGATGAATTGCACTGCAAGTACAATACACGTTGTCGCCATTAGGATGACCTTATCCTTAACATACTAGAGCATGACACATAACACTGTGCTTAATCAATCCGCTGGAGGAGAAATTGGGAGATTGCCACAGTCTGTTTCCTCTCACTGTGCATGAGGGCAGGGAGGTTTTCATTTTGGAAACACAGGCCAATCTATTCCCTCAGCACAACGTAAATAAAAATAAGTTGATATTTTGCATGTAACTCTAATTTAAAAGTTTTGTCCAGGCATGCTGAGTGCACATTTCATGTCAAAGTAACCTCATGTGATGCGCTGAATGCCAAAACTGAGTCTAACACAAAGTAAATAGCCAGGAATTATATTGCTGTCGGTTATCCCTTCGGTACAGATTTCAGGCTCCTTGCCAGTGCATTATAAGGGAATGTGGAAATTCCCATTCTGGTCTATATAGTCCTGGGTCCTGCCATCAAAAGTGGTCAGTCCTAGGTACTTGAGAGGAAGGTACAAGAAATCCTGAAGTGTGAGTTTATAGGATAATCTGTCCCCAGGGGAAATGTCTACCTAATCCCCAACAACTGCAGGTGGCTTAAGACCAAAGCAAGGCCAATTATATTCCTTCCAAAACTATTTTAAATCACTTACTTTTTGTCTCTGGTTGGTCTTTGTTATCTCTATAAAATGTCCAATCCTTTCTTGGATACTGCTAAGCCTTAATGATATATTGTGACGGTGAGTTCCACAGGCTAACGGTGTGAAAAATAGTTTCTCTTATCAGGTTTGAATTTGCCACCTTTGCACTGAATATTCTATGCCCCTCCCCTCAGCTACTGCTCATATTGTAACTGGTCTGTGGTTCCATAATCTGCAGCAACACTGTCAGGCTGGGTCCTCTAACCAGCTCAGAATTAACAAAATATATGTAATGTAATAAAAGAAAACAGCAAAACAATGCATCAAAATTTACCAGGGACACTTTTGCATCTCGACAGTGTAATAGCTGCACTACGCTTGGGTGAGATCGCTTCTCACTCTGAGGGCTTGGCTACACTATAGAGCCTTTGCTGGTATAGCTATGCTGGCAGAGCCCCCTAGTGGAGATGCATAAGCCAATGGAAGGAATTCTTCTGCCAGCATAGCTATGCCTCCACCCTGAATGATATGTGCTAAGCCAACACTCTTCTGTTGCCGTAGTTGTCTATACCAGGGGTTTTGCTGGCATAGCTATGTCTGCTGGGATGGTGTGTGTGTGTTTTCCCCCCCACACTCCTAGTCAACATAGCTATGCTGGCAAAACTCTGTAGTGTAGGCTAAGCCTGAGTATAGACAGTTTCCTAAGGCTCTAAGACGAGAACATCTATACACCATAAATACTGGGTATAGAGTACAGCCTTGCATGGGGAAATACACAGTCCAGACTGAGCTGTTCCACTGTGAAGTAGAAATAGGATCTGTACTGTGAAAGATGGCACAGCTGTCTTAATAGTTAGCATCCAAATACATTTGGTTCTGAATTTTAGTGGTGGTGACCCACAAAACACATACTCTGCAAAGAAATCAGGAAAAGCTAAAAAATGCCTCAGGGCTTTGAAGTAATAATTATCATCCTCCGACATAAGAACGGGAGATCCTCTCAACTCCATCCACTACTGAGGAATGAATGAGTTTGGTTGGCGCGTACATCAAAGGTCTTTCCTAGTAATTTGCTTAAGAGATTAAAAATGAAATCTGAGGGAATTATTAAAGAAGAGCAAGCTGACTTTTTTTTTTTGGAGGGAAATAAGAACAATTAAGCATCTATTCTGTCTGAAAGTGATTACTGAAAAGCTTTGTGACAACCTTCAGCAAACAGCAATTGCATCTTAGTTTCGGTGATATCAAATAAAGCATTTGAGTCATTGAGGCCTGACTAGATCTGTTTATTACCAGGGATGGGTGACTTTGGTTGAGATACAAATGAGCTAGATAATGCTTTTCCTTTGCAGAATGGAAATCTCTAAGACACTGCATTGCTAGACCATGAAATGCATCACGCATCTTAGCTTACAGAAATATTTTATGAAAAAAACTAAAGACAAATAGTGTTAGGTTTGTTACTGCACTTCTTCCACTCAAATATGCTTTTACAGGGATTGATCAAGAGAGTGGGAAGCCATTTGGGTGGGAGCTAGTGTGGCCTACTGATCATTGCATAGTCCAGTGTGTCAACTTCTAGATTCTGTTCTTATCTCTGCCACTCTCTCTTACTGATATTGTGGAAGTAATTTAATCTGTCTGCGTACCCATCTGATTGCATCATTTTACCCATCTGTAATATTGGTATAATATTGAGTGATCTTACAGGAGCATTGTGAGTCTTAATATTTGTAATTTACATAGAGTTCTTTAAATGAAAGGCTTTCTACTTGTAAAATTATTACCACCATTACCATTTTATTGTTACCTTTATAAACGATGAGTTACCAGAGAGCAAGAAAGAAAACAATCAATATCAAAACTAGCATCATTATGTAGCAACTGAAATAAAATGTGCTGAATAGATTTTTGGAAAAATGCAGATGTTTTGTTGCATTAATGGAAGAGCAATGATACATCTGAAGGATATTCCTGAAATCCTTAAGTAGTAATGTGTTCGTTTGGAAGGGTTGCAAAGGCTGCTTGAGAGACTGGCCTGCTTCACAAAGGTGAAGATTTTAACATTGCATAAGAATGATAGAGCATTGTACAGTGCATAAGTGTAGTTGATTGATTATACCTGGGAGGCAGACAGTCACATTCACTATTCTTGTACCTCTGTCTCTCAATGGTATATAATAATACTAAATGAACTATATCTGATCTCTCCGCTCTAGTCTATAATGTATCCATAAAGAGACTTTACCAATTTGAACTTGAAAATGACAGCAGGATTATTTTTGTTCTGTATTTCAACAACGGTAAGGAGTTTGCTTATCTGGGGGAGGATTTGCAGAGTGAGGTGTGAGAATTATTTATGACATAACCAATTGTGCACTAGAAGGAACATGTATCAATTTGACTAGGGGGAGGTGGGCTGGGGGGGCGAAGAAGATTGTCCAGTTTGTGATTCATATTTAGAGGAAATCTCATAATATTTCATAGATTTTTAAGGCCAGAAGGGACCATTATTATCATCTAGACCAGTGATTGTCAACCAGGGTACGTGTACCACTGGGGGTATGCAGAGGTCTTCCAGGGGGTACATCAACTCACCCGGATATTTGCCTAATTTTACAACAGGCTACAGAAAAAGCACTAGTGAAGTCAGTACAAACTAAAATTTCATACAGACAATCACTTTATATTGCTCTATATACTGTACACTGAAATGTAAGTACAATATCTATATTCCAGTTGGTTTATTTTATAATTATATAGTAAAAAGGATAGCAATATTTCAGTACTAGTGTGCTGTGACACTTTTTGTATTTTTAAGTCTGATTTTGTAAACAAGTAGTTTTTAAGTGAGGTGAAACTTGGGGGTACGCAAGGCAAATCAAACTCCTGAAACGGGGACAGTAGTCTGAAAAGGTTGAGAACCAACCGATCTAGACTGATCTCTTGTATAACACAGGCCAGAGAATGTCACCCAGTCATTCCTGTTTCAAACCCAGTATTGTTTGGTTGAGCCAAAGGACATCTTTTCAAAAGACATCCAGTTTAAATTCTTATAGTGTATTTCCTGGAGGCCCGCCCCTTATCCCCTGCCCAACATGCTATAAAAATTCCAGGGGAGTTAAAAATATTTACTCCAGACAGCTCTGGCTGAATTTAAGGCCTGTTCCTTATCTTCCTCTTACCTAAAGAATCTGATGTATTCTCTCTCCTATTTAGATTCTTTGGAGAGGGGTTTCGTCGTTGAGGTTGAGTCTTCTTCTTAGGGGGCTCAAGACATCATAGTAATAATGGATACTATTTAAAATATGA